ATATATAGTGCCAAAAAAATGCTAACCATCATCTGAGCTTTCAGCAAATTGTAATCACTGATCACAGACCACTATAACAAATATAATAATGAAGAAGTTCGAAATACTGCAAGAATTACCAAAATGTGACAGAGACACAAAATGAGCACATGCTGTTGGGGAAATGGCGCCAATAGACCTGCTCGACACAAGGTTGTCAGAGACCTTCAATTTGTAAAAAAAAAAAACAACACAGTATCTTCGTAGTGCAGTTAGACAAGGTATGCCTTGTTCCCCCTTCATGTTTACTCCTATCAGGTAGTTTCCCTCATTTGCAGGATTTGCAAGGGAACTTGATTTGCTTATTGCACTAAGCTAATGCGCTACAGCTCCCACTCATTCCAGAAGATAAAGCACCAAGCCTACCCCACCCATTCCAGACCCCAGCCCCCACCACATCCAAACCCCTGCCCCAGGCCAGAGCAGGGAGATAGGCACAGAGGAACAGTGAAATGAAATCTCATTTCAACTTGAGATACCAGTTGAAGTGTTAGGCAAATGAAGCCTGGCTTTGGAACCCCACTTCTACCCCCTTGTGTCCCCCTCCCCACTTTCCTGGTATGCCCCACACTTGCAGGGACCTCCACTCAGTCCTGTTCCCTTCCCTCTGGTAACCCACCCACCCCCCATCCACAGCTTGTTACACTAGATAAAGAGCTGACCAGAGTAACTCTAAGTGTTAGTGACTGTTAGAGATGTAGCATGCCTCTGAAGACTCTTAATGAGTCCATCAGAAGGATGAAACTGTAAGGCTGACAGCAAGCCCATGGGAACAGAAGAGAGTTCATAACAAGGAGGCCTTGCCACTTACCCTGGCCCTCTTTCCCTACTACCTACCACCCTGGCTCCCCTCCAATGACACCCAAAAGCAGAAAGATACTATTCACTAAAATTAAGAAAGACTATGAATGTTATTTATTTGGTAAGATTTTCTACTTCAGTGTTTCCCAAAGCATGGGGTGGGTACCACCAACTTTTAGATGACACTCGAGTGTAACACTAGATGATACTGAACCATGTGGCAAGAGGTCATTGGTTCAGTTCTTTATTCTCCTGATTAAGTCGAGGAAAGAGTCTCTTTAATGCCTCTCAAGGTCCGCTAATCTCCCTTTTTACACACACGTACACACACAGAGATAGCAGGCCTCAGGCTCAGAGCCTCCCGGAAGCAAGAATAACTGACTTCAATACTTATACAAGGAAAACAAAAGGATATTTTTATACTACTTCCTCTTTCCTGCAACTGATGCTGGTTTTCCATGTACGGTGATGAAATAAAATTTCCTTTTAAAATAAACTAGTATTTACTTAAGTTAAAAAAAAAAAGGAGAGGTTGATTTTTAAAATGTGAGAATTATCATCCAGATGATACATGGAAAAGGCAAAAATGGCAAGGCTGGGTCAAGAATGAGTGCCGTTTGAGAAACACTGATCTTTTCTAACGGGCTACATGCTACGGGGCTGCATACCTAAAAATCGCTGGGCCCCTGGTCCTTACCTCTGGGCTCTACCTCAGGTTAAGGCCCGGCAGGGCAGGGATCTGCCATAAGAGACCACTGGGCAGGAAAGTGAAAAGGTGGCAAATTATTCAGGGGTTTGCAGACGCCCCCAATCTTAAATACACAGTTCATGACAGTTCCTTACTAGCGTCCAGGAAGGAGGAAGCAGGGAGGGGCTGGGAGGTTATTACCTTTCGTTTCAGGGAAAAATAGGGACAAGCATGGTACACAGAGATGAAACAGCTACCCCAAAAAGGAAATCAGACCTATGGAAAATGGGTCCCGCAGGTGGCAAATCGTGGTCTTAACTGGGCCCCAAGACTGTCAGCTCAGAGACAGGTGGCGTAGGAAGGAGAATGACAAAATAGCGGGGCTCCTCGTATTTGCAGGCCCTCAGAGGTGGGGACCCCCAATTGTGCCTCCATTCACTCAGGAACGCGGAGGCACACGCCCCCAGGGGACTGTGAAATAGCCCAGAGAGGGGACTTCAGTTGCCCAGGGCTCCAGAGCCGCGCAGGAACAGCAGAGGGACTAGAACTCAGGAGCCCTCACTCCCAGCCTGGCTGTCTTCCTCCTCAGCACTGCGGGAGTAACAGGGCAGGTTTGAACCAAGACCCTCACCACATGTCCTCCGTCCTCCCCATTTCCCTGTGGGGGACCATCCACTCTTGTCACCAGAATCCATTCATCCCTCTTACGACAGTATCCCAATTTTCCTCTGGGGACCCACCCACTGCCCTCCTGACACTCAGCCCCTGGGCTTCTACTGACAGCCTGTAGGGGCGGACATGAGGCTCAAGCCCGACCAATCACAGCTGTGCATTCTCTGGCCAGTGATTGGTTCAGAGACAGGCACATGATCCAGCAAGTACCAATGCGACCCAGTGAGACTCTTGGAAAACAGCAAGGTGCCATATTTTGCTGGGAATGCTAGAAATAAAGTTAGGAGCTCTGGGGTGCCTCTGCATGGAGCCTGAGAATGAAGACAGCATAGTAGAAGGCAGAGGTGAGGGGTGGAGAGAAAGTGGGTCCTGGTGCCATTGTCTAAGCACCTGGATTAAGCCTGACCTGAAGTCAGCACCAACGGACCTGTTCTGTGATAGGAAAAAACAAATTTCCTGTTGTGTTAAACCTATTTGAGTTAGAGTTTTTGGTAAGCAGGAGACTGACCACAGGAGGTGACACCGCAGCAGGAGACCCAGTTTTCCTCCTCCCTGGCTCTGAACAGTCAGGGACACCCCTCCCCCTCCACGGAGGAAGGGAATACAGGCTGAGGGTGACAGCCCTCATCTGCATCCCCTTCCATGACTGATCTCCCTTTGGCTCCCCCAACGCCCCCCCACAAAGCTGGGCCCCCAATTACCTTGAGCCATTGCTGATGAGAATACTCTCCCGAATTGTCAGGGTGCAGTAATACCACACCAGCAGGAAGTTAAAAACTTCGTCCGTCACCCTGGTGGAAAGAAACAGCCCCGGGGAGGAGCGCACGCATGAGAACCAGGGACGGCTCTCCCACCCACAGGGCAATAGAACAGCAAACACGGATGAGGGCCGCCCCCCACAGGCTGCCTCTGGGAACACCGCTGATCCCTGGGAAGAGAGAGGAAGCATGGCCGCCACCTAGTCTGCCTGTCCCCTCCTCACCTTTCTACCAGAATCCTGCTTGCCTTTAAGGGCTCTAGCTGAGGTTTCGCCCCCTTCCCTGAGCGCTCGGCCTACGACACCCTCTCTCCCTTCTAAATTCTTATTGTCTGATGTAACATTTTTGGTGGAAGGGCAACAGGAGGACCTGAAGCAGAAAACTGAGTATTTTAAACTGTCCACAGTGTCAAAGCGCAAATTCCCTCCATCCCCTTAAAAGATCTATAAACTTTGTTGCACTTACAAAAAAATTCTTATGGCCCAAATTGTCTGTAAGCTGAATGAAGAACTCCCGGCCTCCTCTACGGTCCCCGCGGCCCAGAGCCGGGCACAGAGGCCTTAGGACAGGACAGAGGGGCTAGAGCTGTTGCTGTACCCTGGTCAGAGCAGAAAGCTGGCAGACATGCAGCGTGTGACCTCGTCAGAGACCTCCCTGGCCTCAGCTTTGCTGTCTCTGAGATTCGAAGGCTGACCCCCTACCTGAATATGGCTGGGTGAAGGATCCCGGGACAGAGCCTACGACAGACAGCCCCTCGGAAGCCTCTCCTGCCACGGACTCTAATGGAGGCTCTAGCTTCCCCCCCAAAGGGAAGCGCCTCTGTACTTCCCAGCGCCATACAGATGCATTCAGCACTGTGCGGGGCGCTATCCGTCTGCACCGGGACGGAGAACACCCCGTCTCCTCCGTCTCCATCTCTGAACTGGGACAACCATGATAACCCTGGGAGGGAAATGGAAGGGTGTGACTCGAACAGTAAGAGCCGAAGTTAGAAGGTTGTCTTTTAAGCTATGTGACCCTGTTTTGTGGTCACAGATGACAGACTTTCAACCCCAAGCCCTCTTGAACCATTGCCTGCAGAGGGCCAGGAACCAACGCCCTGGGAGGGCCAGGAACAGACTGGAAGCACAGGGCCTGAGTCCAAATCCCAGCTCTGCCTCTTCCCAGCTGTGGGACCATGGGCAAGTCAGTGATTCTCCCACGCGATCACCTCCCGTGCTGAAATGGGGAGAGTGATGAGTGATAACAGCCCCCGTGTAAGCTGCTGTGAGCATCCGCTGAGTTTACCACAGGAGGCACCTGGGGCATAGGAAGGGTTACCTGCATTCCCTGTTGGAATTCTGGCAAGTATCACAGAGGATCCAAAGCCTGAGAAATGAGTCTCAGACGCTTAGTTCTGAGGAAATCAAAGGCCTACTTGACTTGAATGGGGTGCTGGGGTGGGGACGGCCTCCCCAGGGCAGAGGGTCACTCAGACACCGACTTCTGAGCTCACCTCCAGATAGGAGGCAGGCCCAGTTGCGAGTCGTGGTGACCAGGATGTTTTTCTTTTTTCTTTCTTTTTTTTTTTTTTTAAAGATTTTATTTACTTATTTGACAGAGAGAGACACAGCAAGAGAGGGAATACAAGCAGTGGGAGTGGGAGAGGGAGAAGCAGACTTCCTGCCGAGCAGGGAGCCCGATGCGGGGCTCGATCCCAGGACCTGGAATCGTGACCTGAGCCGAAGACAGACGCCCAACGACTGAGCCACCCAGGCGCCCGGACCAGGATGTTTTTCATTGGTCCTTTCCGACATCTGATCCGTAAAGAGGGGAAGAAAAAGAAAGTTTTATGGCCCCAGCACTTTAGGGACATGCTTGAGGTGCCAGCCTCAGCCGTCTCTGCCGGGGTGTATGAGCTCCCTGCTGCTGGAACAACAGACCACAAACTTAGTGGCTGAAAGCAACGTGCATTTATTCTCTTACAGTCTGGAGCTCGGAAGGCTGAAATGGGCCGGCGGGACTGGGTTCCTTCTGGAGGCTCTCGGGAGAATCCACTTGCTGACCTGCTCCAGCTTCTAGAGGCGCCTACATTCCTTGTTTCGTGGCATCACGTTTCCTTCTCTGACTCTGACCCTCCCAACTCCAGGATGATCTCTTCTCAAGTTCCTTCACTTAATCTATCTGCAGAGGCGTTTTGCCAAAGAAGTCCACACATTCACAGGCTCTGGGGATTAGAACACGAACTTCTTCGGGGACCGTGACTCAGGCCGTGCCAGGCCAGCTCTAATTACTGGGAACTTGCAATGCTGCAGGCATTTTACGTGGACGATCTCTCTGAGTCCTCGGAACAACCCTACAGGATTGCTTCCTGTGGCAGGTGCGCTTTCCACATCTGTGCCCGTCTGCATAACTCCCGACAGCCAGACCCCGCCATTCCTGGCATGCCTGGAGTTCTCAGGCCTCCAGAGCTCATTCTGCTGGTGCGAGAGGCAGGGCAGCAGGGAGGGGAATTTATGCCCTCTGGAAGCAGTCCTCAGCTCCCCTGACCAACAGCAGTTGGAAGATAAATACCCTTGCTCCCTCGCCCCTCTAGTGGGTAACTGAGGCATGTTCCATGCTGTCTCCCAGTTCTCCGGATACGTACAGGGGAGCCCCTCCTGTCTCACTTCCCATTCCCCTACCAATGTTTCTTGGGATCACCTCCCAAAGAAACTGCGGGCACTCAAATGCTTGTCTTGGGGGTTGCCTCTGGGGGAACACACACCAAGACAGGACAACTTCCCATTTTACAGATGAGGATACTGAGGCCCAGAGAGGGGAAGTGAGCTGCCCAGGAGTGAGATCCAAACCGAAGCCCAACTAACCTAAGCTTAACTCCAACCCCCGTTTCCCTGCAGCTTCAAAACCCAATCCTGATAGAGGACAATCCTAACTAGACACAGCCTCCTGGCCTGAAGGCAGAAGAAAGAGGCATCACACTCTCCAGCAGCCTCACCGAAGCTTCCCGAGGACCAGGCAGCATGGGCAGATGTCTTCTGGCCATGGGGAAGATGAGGAAGCAGACACGGAGAGAGCAAGGGCTCTACTCAAGGTCACACAATCTGTGAGTGGCAGAGCTGGACCTAGAACCCTTGGTTCTGGCGGACATTGGCCATTCCCAGCTCCAGACTTACAGGCACCAGAGAAGGGCCTTTCGGTGGGGGCACCCAGCAAGGAAACCATGCCAAGGGGGCAAGAGTAAGGAAAGAGAATCCTGCTCCGTGGATGCACTGGATATTAAGCTGTGGTCTCTTCCAGCCTGCCCAGCCCAAAATGGTGGCAGCAATCACAACTGCTCACACTCAGATGGCACTTACGTGCCAGGCACTACTCTAAACACAGCAAATAGAACCTATCTGGTTCTCTGAGCCATCCTACCAAGTAGCTCTCGTTATCCTCGTTTTGTGTGTGAAGAAACCCAGGTGGGGAGAGGTTAGACCATTTGCCCAAGGTCAAACAGCAGGGCAAACTTCCCTGAAGGCAGAACGGAGATGAGCTGCCCGTCCAGCCCCCTTCCCCTGTCCTATTTTTAACCCATACAAGGTATACTAGTGTTCCCTCAAAATTCATGTCCACCCAGGGCCTCAGAATATGACCTTATTTGAAAATAGGGTCTTTGCAAATTTAATTAGTTAAGATAAGGTCATACCAGGTTAGGGTGGGCCCTAAATCCAAAGACTGGTGTCCTCCTAAGAAGGCCATGAGAGAAACACAGGGACACATGCGGAAGGAGGCTACCTGACAAGATTAAGGCACAGGAGGCTGAGTGAGACTGGAGGGAAACAGCTTTAAGCCAAGGAACGCCAAGGAACACCAAGGAACACCAAGGAACACCCTGGAGGCTGGAGGAGGCAAGGCCGGATCCTCCCCTAGGGCCTTCAGAGCGAGCATGGTCCCACCAACACCTTGATTTCAGACTTCTGGCCTCTAGAACTGTGAGAAAATAGATTTCTGTTGTTCCAAGCCATCCAGTTCGTGGTGCTTTGTTACAACTGCCCCGGGAAATAAATACAGAAAGGGATGGGGAGAAATTGAAAGACCCAGGCCCTCGCTGAACTTTAGAACTTGACAACACACCACAGGTTTGCCCTCTGAGGGCCCAAGATGTCCCAGCGCAAGGGAATCTGGTTGCACATCAAGAACATCTATCCCTTCCAGAGAGGCATGTGAGCAGGCAGTGTGCAGGCTTTGCCCTCTGGGGAAACAGGCCAGGCCCGAGGCAGCAGGCAGGCACGGGCCCAGGACCTAAAAGGGCCTTTCTCTGTCTGGACATTCGAGTGGCCAGACCAGAAACTGGACTCCCAGCCAAACACCTGCCAGGAGACAAACCCCTGACACACCGGCCAAATGCCCAAGCTGTACTCGGCTGCCTCCCCTCAGGGCCCAAAACCCAGTGCCAGGGGGGGGAAACGAAACCCCCTGAGGCAAGGCAGCCTGAGCCCACTGGCCTCAGCCTCTCAGAGCCGCGTGGCCTCCTCTTGCTCCAAAAGCAGGGGCTGATGCTGGTGTCAGGCGCTGGGCAGAGCCCTCCACACGCACTGTTAGCAAAGCCTGGTGTCACCCTCATTTTACAGATGGAGAGACTGAGGCTCCCTGAGGGAACGTGCTCATGGTAACAGCCAGTTAGTCCCAAAGCCAGGATTCAAACCCAGGCAGTCTGTGATCTTTCTTTCTTTTCTTCCTTCCCTTCTTCCTTTCCTTTTTTCTTGCTTTCTCTTTCTTTCTCTTTTTATAATTGATATATAATTCACATACCAGAAAATTCATCCTTTCAAAGAGTATAACTCATTACTTTTTAGTGTATTCACAGAGCTGTACATTCATCACCTCTATCTAATTCTGGAACATTCTCCTCACTCCAAAAGAAACCCCATCCCCATCAACAGGACCCACCCCCACCTCCCCTCCACCCAGCTCCTGACCACTAATCTGCTTTCTGTCTCTACAGAGTTGCCTGTTCTGGATGTTTCGTATAAGTAGAATCATACAATATGTGGCCTTTTGTGACTAACTTCTTTCACCGAACATAATGTTTTCAGAATCCATGTTGTAGTATGTGTCACTGCTTTATTCCTATTTATTATTGGAATAATATTCTATTGTGTGGGTGTGCCATTGGGCTCTTTCCTAACTACTAGTTATAAGGTCTCTCCAGTAGCTGTTCAGTAGATATTTGTTGGATGGATGTCGAGTGGACAGGACTGCTATTTCGCATGAGAAAAGGCTCTTCTCTACCTACAACCTACCAAACATTGCAGAGGCAGGAGAGGACCGCCCCCCCTCCCCATGCCGACACACACCACCACACTTCCTGTTACCTGTAGTGAAGGACAAATCGACACGCCACAGCGCCCAGGAGCAGGATGATGGTCAGGTAGAGCTTGAACTTCTCATACTCATCCTTGTAAGCAAATCTGCGGGGACAGACACCCCCAGGAAAGGTCACATAACTATTACTATAGTTATAGTAATATAACTATATCCCATCTGGGGACAGAATCCTCAGCCCCATCAGATCCTTCACCTACCACCAGCCACTGCCCACAAGAACCTTCTGATCCCACTAAAGGAAAGCTCTGGCCTTGAATTAATGGTGATGATCAATTAGAGAAAGAGGACCGATGTGCAAAGCTTCCCACGTCCCTGGGCTCCTGGTGTAGGTCTCTGGGCTGGTGATGGGGATGCGCAGGGGGTGGAGAAGTGCTCCTCCCTAACCAGCTACTGCAGCAGAAACACCACGCTCTACTGCCCCTGGGACTGATTTCAGGTGGACAGTACTGCCCACTTCCCAGAAGAACTATGCGTGGTAAGCAGTGGAATGGAGCAGGGGCTGTTTCTCATGGGAAAGTGGCAGTTCTGTTCCCCCAACGTACTGACTGCATGAAAAGAAGGAACCCTCCCAGGGTGGCCTCCACTGAGAAGGAACGTGTCAGAAAGACCAAGAGCCAGAGCCCCAACTATTAATTTGTTTTATTTATGCAAAAATTCTAGCTAGGTTCATTTCTCCTGAGTTGGAAGAGCAAGATGCCTGGATTCCCTAAAGCCAGGTGGGGGTCAGAGATACTTACTTGGCCTGGTTGCTGAGAAGGGTCACATTCACATTGCCAAGGACGAGATTTAAGTAGAGCCTGGAAGGAAAGTATCTGTGAGGGCTGACTCGTTCCTTACCAGCCCTGGAGTGGGCCCCAACCAAAAACATTCAAACAATAAGCATGCATTGAGCACTGATGTTAGAAAACAGGGTGCTAAACTCAGCAGTAAAATTCTCACATGGAGAATAATGACTAACTAGAGAATGAAACAATGTGACACATGACAGTCATGACTAACCCATTTCCCCCCATTTTAGCTGGCTTAGAGACCATATTTCCCAGGCTCCCTTGCAGCTAATGTGAGCATGTGACTAAATTCCAGCCAATGAGGTGAAGGCATGTGTACAATCTCTAGGTCAATTTAAAAGGGTTCTTTTTGAAACTGAAGTAAAACCTTCAATATATTTACAGGTATACCTAACGGTATATTTTGTGCCTGGCTTCTTTCTGCTGTGAACATTCTTTTTTTTAACTGAGATGTAATTCACATACCATAACATCACCCTTTTTTTTTTAAAGTTTTATTTATTTATTTAAGTGATCTCTACACCCCACGTGGGGTTCGAACTAATGACCCTGGGATGAAAAGTCACATGCTCTTCCGACTGAGCCAGCCAGGCGCCCCCATAACATCACCCTTTTCGAGTATCCAACTTCATGGTTTCCAGTATATTCACAACGTTGTACAACCATTACTTAACTCTAGAACATTTTCATCATCTCAAAATAAAGCACATACCCACCAGCAGTCACTCCCTTTCCTCCCTCCCCCCAGCACCTGTCAACCACTAATCTACTCTACATCTATGGATTTGCCTATTCTGGACATTTCATACAAAAAGACTCATGCAACATGGGGCCTTTTGAGTCTGGATTCTTTGCTGTCGACATTCTTACACATGTCTATTGGAGGGCAGAAGCACTCATTTCCATTGGCTATACAGACAGACAGGACCGGAATTTCTGGATTATAGAATATGTGTGTTTTTGGCTTCACCGGGAAATGGCAAACTTTTTTTTTTTTTTTTTTTTTGGTAAAAAGGTATCTGCTTGCCCTCCACTTCCGGCCCATGTGACAGTATGAGCCAGCTTTGGCCATGCAGATGAGGACAACTCCCTGAAGGGTGGTGAAGCAACAAGTTGGGAGTTGGAAGGGCCCCGAGTCCCTAGATGACCCCATGAGCCCTCCGCTCTTGGTTCACTCACCTCTGGACTGCTATGTATGAGAAGAGAAACCTCCCCCTTGTCTGAGCCCCTGTATTGTTGGGCTTTTGTTACGATAGTCTGTACTCTAACATCACTAACAAAGGTGCAAGTAAAGGGTTATGAAATCTCGGGGAGGAAGGGTTTAATTCCACAGAGGGAGAGGGGTTTTGGAAAGGCTTCACTGAGTTGCTAACATTTGAACTGGGCTTTGAAGGATGAGTAGAAGGTTAGAGGAGGAAAGCAAACAAAAAAGTCTTCTTTCTAGCTCTGAATAAATTCTAGGGGCATTTCTGGTCTGGTGTAACTGGAGTAGAGGTGTAAAAAGAATTACCTATTTTTTTTTCGGCTAGCGATACAGTCCCCACTTCCTGAAAGAGCAGGGCCATTTTCCTTCAGAGAATCTCTTTTCCCCTCAGGTCCTAGGGTAAGGCACATGACCCAGGCTTAGCCAATCAAAGCACTGCATCCTCCTGATTGGGTCAATAATGGTCATGTGACACACTGGTCACAGGCCAATGAGACTCAGTCCTGGGAACTTTTCCCAGAACTACTAAGAAACAAAGACGCTTTCTCTACTGGAATTGTTAAGCCGGCAGAAGGCAAACCCAGAGCTCCCGGGGCCAGCTTGTAGAGAAAGTCTCCCTAAGAACAAGACACACATGGCCAAGGAAGTAAAAGGAAAGCTCACTGAGAGACCGAGCCTAAGAGTATCATTTGAGCAGCAGGATCCAGCCAGACCCACAGCAACATTTGCACCGTTAAGTTACATGAGCCAATAAATCACCTATTTTTCGTAAGCACTTTGAGTTGGGTTTTCTGTCACTTGTAACCCAAAGATTGCCAACCGATGTAAAACGCACGGAGGACTCAGGAGGCTGGAGCTGGGAGAGCGGATCTGAGCCACACTGTAAAAAAGGGTCATGCGGTTTCATTCTATGGAAAATTATCATCACCCAACTCAGGGAGGTTTTCACCAAATACGGCAAAAGAGGAGAAGCCAAGAGGAATGGCTTCAAGTGTAAAAGGGCCTGACGGGGGCTCTGACTCGGCGCTAGGCCAAACCAGGAGAAAGGGCCACAGGGAAGTGATGGGAGCACTCAGCAGCCCGCCTCGGGTTTCGATACAACACTGTCCGATCTCACTCTGGAACAGGTGGCAGTGATGTCACCTGAGGGAGGAAATGGGACTTCTTCAAAGGAGGAAGACAGAACAAACACAAGCTCTGGAGTCAGAGTGTTCACATCCAAACCTGGGCTGAGCCACCTGAGCAAAACACCCCCTAATGGCTTTGAACCTTGTAGAATTTGGACACCTGGGTCTGACTCACCAAGCTGTAGACAATTCAAGAGCCCCCAGCACAATGCTAGGCATACAGCAGGCACTCAATAAATGTTTGTTCTCAAAGGAAAACAAGAGAGAGAAACCAAGAGACAGACTCTTAACTACAGAGAACAAACTCATGGTTACCAGAGGGGAGGGGGGTGAAGGGACAGGTGAGCTAGGTGATGGGGATGAAGGAGGGCTTTGTTGTGATGAGCACTGGGTGATGTATGGAGGTGCTGAATCAGCCTACTGTACACCTGAAACTAATACAATACTGTCTGTTAACTATACTGGAATTTAAAATAAAAATAAAATAAATCCATGTTTGTTCTTTGGGAGAAAACATCTTTCCTCTTAACCTCGGGTGGCACCAGGCACGCAGCAGGTGCTGGAAACCAGATCTTGTATCTGGTTCCTTGCACAAGCCCTCCCGGGAAGGTCACGCTGAGATCAACCTCCTGTTCCATGGAGGAACGTATGAGGAAGCCTCCTTCTCTTTCCTGCCCTTGCTTCCCTCCTTTCCCCTCAACCTCAAGCCCCAGCAGGGAGGTGGGAGTCACACAGACCAGGCCCTCTAGGCCTGGGCGTCTGCCTGCAGCAGGGGTGCGCTAGGTTTCCAGCTCCTACCCATTCTTCTTGGGCAGGTAGGCCTCCATGTCGAAGAAGATGTTCTGCCGCTCCTTGATGTTGGCACTCATCTGCTGAATGAGCTCTGCCTCCTCCCGACTGGCATGGTTCTTGTACCTGTTTGGTCAGAGGTGCAGGCATAGGAGAAGCAGGGGTGTTACTCAGACTGGAGGAAGAATCTGGGAGCTCGGGGCACTGCCCTCCCAACTTTCTATCTCAATGCTTCTTGCAACCTCAATTCTCCCTCTGCACCCTGTGGGTTTGACACTGGGTCCCTGCTAGCCTTGTGACCTTGGGAAAGTCCTTTCACCACTTTGCCTTATTTTCCATACCTGAAAAACAGGGGTAGCATCAGGCCTACCTCATGGACAATACTGTTGTGAGGATTAAGTGAGTACACTAAATGTAACACATTTAGAATGATCCTTGATACACAGTATGAGCTCAATGGACTTCTACAGGCAATACCATGCTTCTTACTCTTCTAAAAGAAGAGACTGAAGATTACTAGAAGGGCAGACAGGAAAGTGCTTTAAAAGTATTGGCAGCCAACTGATCGATCACTGTCTGTTTTTCCTTGGTGATATTTAACTCTCAAAACTAGAAAAACAAGCCAGTGGACACCCTCTCAGAATAGTAGGTGTGTCTTCTATGGGTCAACCTTCTAACCCACTGGTTCTCAACTGGGGACACTTGGCAACATCTAGGAACATTTTATTTGTCAAACAGGGGGTGGAAGGTCCTACTGGCATCTAGGGGATAGAGGCCAGGGATGCTGCTAAACATCCTAGAATGCACAGGACAGACCCTGCAGCAGAATTATCAACAGTGCCAGGGTTGAAAAATCCTAGACTGATAAAGACTGTTGAGTCTTACCATCAGTAAGATGTGTTTTTCCAAGAGTGGCGATGTCATTACATGGAACCATCCACACTCTTACCCCATGACTAATGGACCTCCATTTCCAAAATGGTCAGCCAAGGTTAGGGATATAATCAGTAACGTTTGCAAAAATTGTCCACAAGGGAAGGGAAGAATTGACCAGGAGTTACACACTATGGTATGGAGACTTAGCTAAGTCAACTGGGATAAGCCACTCAGAGCCTCGGTCTCCTTGCCTGCCTGGGGTCACAGCATCCACTGGACTCCTTCTACCTATAGGGGATGAGAGCACTTTCCAAACCATGAAGACATGAGGATTGGGAGGTGAACTTATGATCTTGGCCTCAAGAACTGAACAAAGTCGTGAACTTAAGTATTTCCCCCTGGGGATGCCAGACTTCCTACCACCTACACCAAAGACCTATAACAACTTTCCTCTGGGAAACTACCTCTCATCCTCTTTCCCCCTCCATATAGTTCCAGTAAGGCTGTCCCATCCCCCAGGTCCAAAAACTAAGCATATGACCTAGTCTTGCCTAACCAGAGTCTCAGTGATTGGTTCACAAATAACCATGTGACCAATACCCACCAATTAGGATCACACCCAGAACTTGTACTGAAAAACAAGTTATTCTGTCAGTGGAACTAAACCAATAGGAAGGAAGGCTGGAGGATGTAAGTCCGGAAGATATTTGTCTGGCACTGCTGGTGGCCATCTCGGTGACCAGAAGGGGACAGTCAGCCTGAGGGTGAAGCCAATCTAGAGGATGGCAGAATTTAGAAGGGGGGGAGAAAAAAAAAAACAAACAGATTCCTAAAAACACCTTTTGACCCCTGGATCCAGTGATGTCTGAAGCTACTCCTGGTTTTTTTCCATTAAAATTTCCATTCTCTGCTTAAGCCAGCTTTGAGTTGGGTTTCTGTCCCTTAAAACCCAGGGAGCTGTAGCCTCGCCTACCTCTGGAGTGTGTGCTTCAAGTCCTTCAGGCGCGTCTTCTGCTTGTTGATGGAGCTGCTACACAAAGTCTGGAGTGAGGTCAGCTCCTCCAGCTTCTGCTTGTAGATCCTGTGGGTTTCCTGAGGGATGGAGGAGCCCAAGCAGGGTGTATGGGAGAATGTGAATGGGTCGCTTTTCATAGTTGGATGTGACTGTGCAAGTCAGTCTGACAGCTAAGATGATGCAACTACTACTACGGAAGATGTGGCTTAGACAACCAGGACTGGAATTCGGGAAGGCAGCACGGCACGGTGCTTATGTACGGAACTAATGTTTTTTTCCTACCCAGGTTCCATCCTTCCTAATAGCAACAGCAACCAAATATGCCTCTGAGAGGCCACCTCTTGTCAACCTCTTCTTGGTCCAGATGGTTTGAGTAGGGCTAACAGTCTCCATGCCAATAGCAGTCATGTGATCCACACCTGGCCAATGAGTATCCTCCAATGCCCTAGCCACTGACTGATTCAGAGGTAGACACATGGCTCAAACTGGGCCAGTGAGAGTCAGCCCTGGGACTCTGGTTTAGAAGTATTGGTTTAGAAATGCCCTCCTTCTTCTGGGTTTGCTAATCTGGTAGAAAGCGCACCTGGGGCTGCTGAACAAATGAAGCCTAACAGGAAAACAGAACTGCAATGCAGTACGAGATAGAATTCTCACAGCATCAATTCAGCCCTTAGATCTAACCAGGTCTGAATGTAATGCTCTTGGTGATATGAATTAATAAATTCCTTTTCACTTAGGCCAGTTTGATTTGGGTTTCTGATCCTGGCAATGAAGAGAGTTCTTGCTAAGTCAACTAAGAAAAGGACACATCGCTTCCCTTAAAGCCAGCCCTCCCTACCCCAGGCTTTGGAAATAACCATTCAGGGCCACAAGGCCTGGGGAAATACAAGAGACTTCACCTTAAGGCAAGAAGGATGAACACAGTAACTTCTTGATCATGCTGCCCCAGCACACCTCCCCGAACATTACAGCATATGCTCAGAAACAGCCCCTTCCCTCTAGAGTTCTGATAATCTAAGACAAGCACCAACAATGTAGAGGAAATAATATGAGGGACAGGGACCATGAAATTAAAAAAAAAAAAAATCCAATGAACAGATTTAAAGTGTCTGTTTTCTTGGGTGGTGGAGAAATGTATTTACCAGAGGGAGGAGAAAAAAAGGGGATGGTCAAAGGGTGAGACCAGAGCCTAAACGCTCATAGCTGCCAAGCGGGGTCTCTAGATTTGACAGTCAAGCCAGAAAATAAAGAAGTGAAGGCAATGAAGTGAACAGGTAACAATTAGGAACAACATCAAAGGACACTATGAGCAAGTCTCCCCTGACCCCGAGATGAGAAGGCTTGGTCCCCTGAATTCGCACAGCATCCTCACTCTCTCCTTCCTGGGTCCCTGGAGAGGAAAATCATGTCTTTCATGTAACTTTTTATTTTTAAATAATTTCAGGGGCGCCTGGGTGGCTCAGTTGGTTGAGTGACTGCCTTGGGCTCAGGTCATGATCCCAGGGTCCTGGGATCAAGCCCCGCATCGGGCTCCCTGCTCGGTGGGAAGCCTGCTTCTCCCTCTCCCGCTCCTCCTGCTTGTGTTCCCTCTCTCGCTGTCTCTCTCTGTGTCAAATAAATAAATAAAATCTTAAAAAAAAAAAATTTCAAACTTGCTGAAGAATTTTAAGAAGAATACAAAGAACCCCCCTATACCCTCCACCCAGATTCACTAACTGTTGGCATTATGCCATACATATTTGCTTTATCCTGTGTGTGTGTGTGCGTGTGTGTGTTCTTTTTCTGTATCAGGCATCAGTGAACGACAACCCACAGGCCAAATCGCCAGCCACCAGATTTTGTATGGGCAGTACGCTAGAAATGGATTTTGCCTGGTTGAAAAAAAAAAAATCAAAAGAAGACTACTTCACGACACGTGAGAAGTGTATGAAATTGCAATTTCGGTATCCATAAATAAGCTTTCCCGGAGCACAGCCACACCCGTTCACTTACATCCCGTCGTGGCCACTTTGGCGCTGCAGCAGCATAGTGAGTAGTTGTGACATGGACCATATGGCCCGCCGAAGCCTAGAATCCTCATTCCCTAGCCTTTCTGCCAA